AGTTGTCACCCTAACTAATGGGAGTTTGCAGTAAAACATAGCCAACCAACCACTACTCCGAGTACAGTCTAATCCATATATAACAATCTAGCATGCACTTTCCTTGGCAAGTATCTTGAAGAAGGTTGATAAGTTGAGGCTGAACACACTTAAGTTGATCAACTTGGACAATAGTTTCCAAGAAGCTTCACCTCTCCCTTCACGAGTTGGACTAAAGAAGCGATACCATCTTAGATGACCATGAAATAGGTGGCTAGATCTAGAAGAAAGGTGTTAATGTCCTTCAATTGAATATGTTGTAATAACTATAATAGTATTGTGTATATATGGACATGTGAAGGTGGTGATCTCTTCTTTCTCTACCACAAAATTTGTTTTCACAATCAATCCATCTATCCATCTCTCTATTTTTTCGCATAAAAATACCGATGGATTTAGCTGGTCACTCAAGAGCTACAATATTAATTGTGTTAGACAGTTATTCCCTTAGGTCCAATCAGATTGATGTATCTTTTGACATTTATTGTAAATGAATAAAATACATAATTGATTCATGTCATTGTGGTGTGTTTCTGTGTAATACCTTTAAACTGGACACTTATGAGACTCGTGTTAGTTTAGAATCTTCATAGCCGTTGGATAGATCTGGGGAGATTTATCCTGCCAAGGCTGATAGTAATGTGCCACCAAGTTGGTTGGGGTGGCTTATCTCAGCTGCCAGGGTGAGACCTAAGGTACATGCAGTGCGAGTTTTTTTGAAACCCTGAACCAAACCAAATTCAAGTATTGCCCTGGACCTTAGAGATAGATGGACAAAACTAGAATGTTACACCTGACCCCTAGACTCAATTATGATACTACACTAGGTGTCAGATTGGGCTGTCTTTGATATACCAATCAGTAAGATCCTTAGAGGGGGTCAAAACCTAGGTATGTTGGGGCAGTCTGAGAATTCATTTGAGTGGGTGATCATAGTGACAGAATCAGCCTCTTTGTCAAATAAAGTGAATGATCGGGTAATGCACTCTCTCTGATGGAAACCTAAACTGCTGGCAGTTGATTTCAAACTTGTTGAAATTTGTTTTTGCAAAATATATTTATATAGAGATATACATACATACATACATACATACATACATACATATATATATATACATATATATATATATATATATATATATATATATATATATATATATATATATATATATATTATGGTTTCAAAATGTTTGCAAAAAGTTTTAATTCCCGGGATTCATGTGAGTAGAGAGTGCAAAACTGCACCTTATAGCCGAGGGAGAGGTCCTCTCTTGTCGGGCAGTGTTTGATCATTATGGGCTGAGAGGTTAAGTGTAAGACCATTGTGGGTAATACCTGATGGGCTAATCTTGCATCTGCCCACAGTTCTTGGGTTTTCATAAAATGGCTAGATCCAAGAACCATTTAGTGTAAACGTTGGGCCCATTAAGAGCCCATGGTGATAGACTCAGGGGTTCACTGTCTCCTATAGTGAATTCGGCCAGGCCTTGTAACAAAGGTTGGGCTGAACCCATGTGGCTGATGTGTAGATCAATGTTAGGGTCCCACGCCATACAAAGAGAGCCAAGTTGGTAGCAGATTAAAGAGTAAGTGAGCACATAAGCTTAATGGGCCTAAGGCCCAATTCAAACTACGCTTAAGTTAGTTAATTAAAAGGGGGGCGAATTCAGTTTTAAACTGATTAGGATTAGCTGAAGGATAAGATAATTCTTATCCATTTAAGAGTCTAGATCCAAATATAAGATTTTGATTAGGAAAGTCTCTCCTAATTAGATTAGGAGGCTGATCCAAAAAGGTTATAAATAGGGGCGAAATTCTCAAATTTTAACAACAACAAATTGTAGAATTCTTTCCCAGTTCTTGTCGCCCCTACCTAGTTCGATCTCCACTTGTGGATCTGATCAAGAAAGGTTCTTGATATTATTTCTTGGAAGAAGAAACAATCTGAAGACGTGCTCACCAGCCCTTACTCGATTATTGCTGAAGAATTTAGGTTCTTGTTGAAGAACCATCCTGCTGATCATGCTTCACTACACACTGTGTCATCTTCAATGAAAGTGGGTTTTGGTCTTTTCTTTGGGCATGAATACCTGCATTGGGAGTTACTGTTACTTCGTATCAGGTCTATCCCTTACTTCCCTTTGGTTTCAGATCTTGTACGGTTTTGGATTCAAGAATGAACATTGAAAATGTAATTTTCTAAATTAGGGAATGCGATTCCCGAATGAGAGAGAAATAAATTTTTTGAAATTTTGCCCAACCTTCCTGCAGGGCTTCAACCATCCATATGATGGATCTCCCATGCCTTCAAATTGGTCCTACTTAGAGAGGAGTTTTAGTTGTGGATTAATTCACCTGAGCCATTTTGATGTTTTATAACATAGATATATGGAGAATGAAACGATGAAACAACTTGAAAGGAGTGGAGGGTCATGGAGGAAATGGAGCATTACTTGAATTGGAAAGATTCCTTGCCTTCGGCTTGGGTTTCATCATTTAGGAATGCTTGATATGATGTTGCTTTAGTGTTAAACCTTCCCGACATGGTGTGAGTGGGAGAAGCAGCAATGGTTGTAGTTTTAACCATGGTTTTAGAACCATTGTCGATCCAGATGGTTAGACTGTTTGGTCTGGAAACTGTCCAGGGTACCGATTCCATTTAACTCCTGACCCAGTCTTTTGTCAAAAACCTTTGATTTAGTTAGTGACCTGCTGACTTGGGTGGTCGAACCATTGACCGACTCGGTCAATAGTTTTTGGCCTTTTTTGTTTTAATTTTGAAAATTTTAAATTGCAATGAATTGTCTGTTTAGACTGAACAATTGAACCACTGACCTACAAAACAGTGGCCAAAGCAATTCCCATTTCGCGTCAGTTTTTAAAACATTGGTTTTAATAGTGGTGGTTACAACCATGTTTAAGGTTAAATATGGCTCCAACTGACTACAACTGTTTCAGTGTTCTGGATTATACAGGTTAAAGAAAATTTGATTAATATGATGTGATTCTTGTTTTGAATAGAATTTGATATTTCCTTTGCCATCTTATATAGTTCAATCTTGTGACTTATCCGATTTTCATTTTCATGTTTATAATTTTATTGTAATTTCCCATCTTTCAATCGTGAAGCCATGAATATCTCTTGTACCAGTCATAGTTTTCTCTTTTTTTTTAATTTATTTTTGCCTTTAGTAATTGAAACGGGTGCGGAAGAATCTTCCTGATCATGAATTTCCTTTTTTTTTAACTCTAATTTATCATATATAGTTAAGGATCGAAAAGCATGCACATGTAGAAAGAAAGATGTAAACAAATCCCAACTTGATTTGTTGTCTTTATCATTAGTTCTCTAAATTCCACCAAGAAACTCTGCAACTATTGATCGAAAATATAGTTTAAAACTGATATTATCTTTATTGATTAAAATAAGTAACTTAATATGTAGATTATCAATATATGGTTCAAAACTTATGATTTAAATTTAAATTTTGTAAATATTAACTTTTACATTACTTATTGTACACATTCAAATATTAAAATGAAAACAAATGATCAAATAACTTAAGTAACTCATTGGTCAAGTGAGCCCATGTCCTTTGTTACCTTGAGTGCTTGGATTCAAATCTTCACATCCCCAAAAATATTTTAGGGTTTATTTCAAGGTAAGTTCAGTTCCAAGGTAGGCTCCACAAAGGTCAGTTCGGGTAGAGTAAACCCCTACACCTTGGAACCAGCCTGTGTGAGATTTGGTTCCAAAAATTTGGAACCAGACCCTACCCTATAATAAATTGGTTAGAATTGGTTCAAGGCCACTTTGGAGTTTGTTCCATTTGGTTCTGGGTAGAACCTACCCGTCGCACACAATTCATTGAGCATGAACGAAGGTGAAATAATACTCTTGCAAGCAGTAATGATATGGAGCGACCGCCATAGTTTCAGCCATAGGAGGGCTCTCACACTGAATAGGGAAAGCTCTGGCTAACGGAAAAGCACCATTATGGTCCCGAAGAACCAGCCCAACAGATCCTGCACCCACTAACCCACTTTGAATGCTGCATCTACATTCAATTTAAAAAAATTAAATGCAGGTTTGAACCACACTTCTTTCAATCCATGGTCCAAGGGTGCAGAAGATGGAGAATCCATGGGTTCTGAAAGGCTCAAACACCAAGCAATTTCAGCATGAGCCTTGCATATGACAAACAGCAGGATCAAAAGGATAATCTCGGCATTTTAAAATTTTTAGAGCATGACATCATAACTTTCGGTAACGTTTTTAACATCAACATAGTGGAAGGGATTTAGAAGCAATGGTGTCAGAAACTTAAGGTGAGCTGACTGCTAGTACACTAAGTGTGTGGGTAGCAGACAATACTCAAATTCATATCACCATCTTAGGCTCCAACTCCCCAACTCCTTGTTACTTCTTCTGCAGAGGTTAAGCAATAACTGTTTATCTGCATCATCATTTAACAATCTCTCCTTTCCTTTTGCATAAAATAGAACAAGAACAACAAACGGAACAGTTAACAACTTAACATCAAGTCATCAACTAAGGCAAAGGTGAAGGGAGAAAATAAGGCTCTTATGCCTATTTCACCCCCTCGGCGGTGGTTTGAATTCACCAAGTTAGTAGAAAAAGCAGATGGGGATTTGGAACAATAATGAAAAGACAGAAAAAAGAAGACTAGTCACTATATAACAACCAGTAGGACTCAGTTGCTCTGAAACGGAAAGACGATGGATAATTATATCTAGGGAAAATCTATGATGCGGGAAAGATATGGTATGGAAAGAGTTTTGACCAATCAAAACCCACCCATGAATTTTGATAAATAACATCTTATTCGCTACCACGTTTATGATTCCATTTTATTGGTAAGTTGTTTTTCGGATATCATATCTTTTCCATATCATAGTCCTTATATCTATCCAAATAAAGCTTAATCATAACAAAGATATTATCAAAAAGAACTTTTCAATTTAATGAGAAATCCATCTTATGTTTCTTCAATCAATTGCCTTCAGAAGTGAGGTGGACGGGGCAGAAAAATTATGTCCTCTCTGGTATGAAGACTTCTTGCGTGGTGAGTCCCTGAGAATAAGAGGTTCAGCTGACAGACTCACATGAGTAATGATCCCATCTTCCCTTTCTCTGTAGGATGCCCAAGTGACCATATAAAGTCCAGAGATTATCAGAAATCCCCCTAAAATGCTGTTTTGACATCGGTAATCACAATTCACAAAGTTAGCTCCGGTTCTATCACAAATGAGCTTTTCATTAGTATAGCCATTAACAAATTTCATAAACAAAACAGTTCAGGAAGGAAAAATGTCCCACTCGAGTATTAAAGAAAACCAGGTTATAACATAATGAAGCAAAATAGGGTAATTCTGTTTCACCATAAAAAGTTACTTGTGTTCATATTTGTCATGTGAGTGAATGTAGATCAGTTATTTAAAAGGCACGCCCGAGGCACACCTAGGTGCACAGGCAAGGTGCATTTTAGGGTATGCACCTTGCCTAGGTCCCAGGCACAACATTTTCAAAAGGTGTGCGCCTGGTGCACGTTACGCTTAAGCGCAAGCGTGTGCCTTTTGAAAACCTGTGCATTTTTCCGAGAACCCCATATTTGCTAATGTTGCTCATTCATTTATCCTAATAAAAGATATTTTTAAAAGACACTTAAAAGTATAAAACCTTTTTAAGAATTTAAGTCCCTGATATAGACTTGTTTGAACTTGCCTCGAGGGGCTTGGTACAAAGGCGGCTCGTAGAATCAGGAATTTATAATGTTTAACATCACATTAGCTATTTGAAGTAATGCAATTGGGAAAAAAATAAAGAGGTTAAGAGTTTACATGCTTGAATATGTTTTATATGTTATGCTTGAATTTATTTTTAAATTTTCATTTTAAATATGTTTTGCATGCTATGCTTATGTATTTTGATTTGAGATAATAGATTTTTTAAAGCATTTATTTAAAATTTAAGTTTATATTTTTTAATTAATAATGTCTTTTAATATTTTTAATATTTTGCATTTTCTAATTTTTTTGGATTTTTTTTTAATTTTTCAGTTTTTTTTTGTGCCTTGCTTCAAAAAGGCATACGCCTTTTTAAATTTTCATTTTAAATATGTTTTGCATGCTATGCTTATATATTTTAATTTGAGATAATAGATTTTTTAAGCATTTATTTAAAATTTAAGTTTATATTTTTAATTAATAATGTCTTTAATATTTTTAATATTTTGCATTTTTTATTTTTTTGGATTTTTTTTTAATTTTTCAGGTTTTTTTTTGTGCCTTGCTTCAAAAAGGCACACGCCTCGCCTTGTGCGTTGCACTTTTAAAACACTGATGTAGATTAATAACAAATGTGAAGAGAGTCCTGAATAAAACCTTCCCAGATATATAGGGTTTCCTAGGAAAATCCTTGATAGGAAGGCAGATGCAGCAGGCTGAAGAGGATTATACAGAGATACCAATGATGGTCCTAGAATCTTGTTGGACCATGTCAAGAGTCCATAGTTAACAGCAGATGTAATGATACCCTGCAAAGACAATGCACAAGATTCAGTATGTTTACTATGTAGCATCACTGCATGAGATTCTGCATATGACTAGTCGAATCAAAGTCATAGACTTAACATTCAAACCATGGGAGTCAGATTGATGCCAATACCTAATGATATCATTGAAACCAATTTATACAGGTAGCAAGAAAATACTTATTGTGATGACTGAAAAAATAACAAAATTGCATTGACTTGAATTCAAATAACTCCAGAAGATAGGAAGAGTTCTTTTTGTACAACAAGCTTCTTTGAATGCTCTTTTGCACTGGTTTGCCAAATGATTAGCTTCATTATGATGAAATAATTGATTGAAGCCCTTAAAAGTTACAAATTCCTAAAATTATCAAACCTAATAGAAGCAAACACTACTATTTACACTACTCATGGAATAAAGAGGACCTACCTTGCACTGTTACAAGTAAAATATCTGGATTGTACAGGTACCAAATAACAGATCTGTAAATGGATTTAATAATAAGACAATAAAAATAAAATATTAATAAATTAATAATAAAAATTAATATAACAAAAACATTAATTAAAAATAAAATAATAAAACAAATCTTGGAAACAATCTCTCTGTATGTGCAGGGGTAAGACTGCGTACATCCGTCTCTCCCCAGACCCCACATTGGCGGGAGCCTCATGCACTGGGCTGCCCTTTTTTTAAAAAGCTAATACAAAACTGAAAGTTTCGATTGATTCCGATTCCAGATCCAGATACAGATGAACCAAACAAAAATGATTGGCATCTGACTCCGATTCCAGTCTGAAAGACTCTAAACTAAACAGGCATTGGGAATAGGTGTTTCTGAATCTGATTCCAGAGGATTTCAATTCCAATCCTGACTGTGAACCAAACAGACTGTAAGACAATTCCAGTTCTTAATTTCTCAAGAAGGAACTTATGTAAATGTACACAAAAAGAGCTGATGCATGTCAATGCTGGTTTATATTGTACAAGCAATAGCAGAAAGAAAAATAATTATAAAATCAAGGCAATTTAGGAGTGACACCAGAATCTATAGCATACCAATTTGTGTTAAATGTAGGTAGTAGGTACTTAATCAATTAAAAGTTGAATTAGCCAATGCAACATGATGAAGAAATGCCTTTTCCCTCCAATTGGTGAAGAAAACTAATAGGGAATAGCTCCACATGCCCAAAAGAACCACAAGCAGGCTATAGGATGGCCTGCATGCTTATTCAGTTGAGTTGAAGTGAGTCTTTGATCTGTAACTCGTTCTACTTCCTGAATCCAACTGCAACTAATTTCTTCACCTTCCTCAATCTTCTGTTTCTTCAATAGTTTTTAGACCTTCAAGACCCAACCTTGTTATCCCTGTTTTCTACTACAACCCATTTCTGAACTGTTAACATCCTTTTCCCATGTTTTTCTTCTTTCTTCCCAACCTCTGCAGTCTACAAACCCTTAGTTGTAGGTTCTCCCCATGCTTTCCCTATTTCTACCTCAAGTGGTCCCGTCCCTCTTTTCCCATTACTTCCCACTTATCTTAAAACTCTTCCCCCAGAACCTACTATTTGATAACCATGGCCGTTTAACCTGGTTCAGCTGGAGTTAGAATCCCATAATATTTTATTCACCCTACCAGTCAATTTGTTTCTATCTCTCTAAAAGATGACTGCTCTGGCCAAAAAGAATAGTTGGGATCAGCTTTTGGAAAGCTTCCATTGTGTCATGGCGGATTCCAAAGGGAAAGAAAAAGTAGTGGAAGATCATGACAACCAACTGAGTCTACAACTGGCTCACATGTTGGCAGAGAAAGCAGTGGTCAAAGGTTCTCATGTTGAAATGGATATGGAAAAGTGCTTGGAGGCAGAGGATGTACTCAACCATCTTCTCAAGGGAAGAATCTTTCCACGCCTACAAGTCACAAAGGATTAGAAATTTATTTCGAAGATGTTATGGAGAAAGAGACAGTACTGAAAGGAGGTCAATGGTTTTATAAGCCCAGTTGGTTTATGGTGGATCCATGGAAGGATAGTGAGGATGGTACGATTGAAAACCTCTATACTCAGAAAAGTCCAGTTATAGTTGCATTTAATCCCATGATCCTTGGTTGAAGATACTAGAGTCAAGGCACTAGGATTAATGGCGGGAATAGTAAAAGATCAACAAAAAATTCCTAAAGGTCAGCCAATACAAGGCTTGTATATAAGAGTCCAGGTGATCATTGATGTTCGCCAGTCTCTTTCACTGGTATGTTCATAAACGTGGAAGGGAGACAAAATGGGTTTGCCACCAATATGGATCATTAACAAAATTTTGTGCCTACTATAGCTTACTTGGTCACTATTGGCATAGATGCAAGTGCATTGACAAGCTGCTGGAGGAGATTAAAGCTGAAATTGAAGATAGGGATTCCAGGTGGATGGAAAAAGTGGAATTCCAATCGGAGAAACCTAATTCTAGTGTATAAAGGATGTAGAGAACACTGATGTGGTCCCCACTGTACTGTACTCGTATGACTATAGTCAGCAGTTAGTTGTTAGTTGGTAGTTATTTCAGTCAGTTTATAATTATGAGTCTTTTATTAGTCTTTTATTTTTGCCATGTAAGCAGCAAGGGTATTTCAGCCCTTTTACCTTTATTTGAGATTTAATATAAATAGCAAGAGAGGGGCGGCAGATCAATAATCCTCTCCTTTTCTAAATCTCCCCTTCGAACTCTTCTTCTCCTCTTCTCCTCTCTTATCTTATCCTCTTCCTCTTTCTCAAATTTTTCTTGTTAATTAAACACTAAAACTAGGACTGATTGTAGTCTTATTCGACTACAATGTGGAAGGATGTAAACTAAAACTGATTCATATGAGCGACACTAGCTCAGACGAGGTCTCAGAAGATGTGGGAAGAAAACACAAACTAAGTTCCTGGATGACTCAATCAAAGCAGGGAGTCAACTTACAACTCGAGAAAACGAAGAAGAGTTAGCTCGATGGGACCTGCATCTACACCTGTGTCCATATATCAATACATGCAAGGAGAGATTCTGGATTAAGGTACATTACTAAATCAGGTGGGTTTGGATATATGGAACCAGAGCTGGGCCTGAAGAAGTTGGGTCAACCCAAAAAGACAACACTAGACCCAAAAACAAACTCGATACTGCATATAGAAAAATGTTGAAATCCTCTTTGCTGATGGTACGAGAATGAAGTTTCCACTGGAAACCAATACACAGGCTCCTCAAACAGGGCAACAGGTTGAGGTAGTGGACAAAAGTTTGGCACATGAGGTGGAAGAGTGGATTGATGTTTTTACATTTGCACAATTACTTCTGAATGGCCAGAGCAGTTCATCGATCGTTAACCCTATGGAATTAATGATGGGCGTAAATGAAATGCTTGGGCTTCTAACTCCATTAGATCTGCATTCAGGTATCTCTCGTATTGCTATCCCAACCCTTGGCCAAGTACTCACCTTTCTTTACTCTCAAAATTCATATTGTAATATTGAATATACTTTCTTGCCTCACTATTGTATCTTGTTCCTCATGAATTTCTTAGTATGGAATACAAGGGATCAACAACTCACATCTATCTGTTATCTTAGGAAACAGGGTAGAATATTCAACCACGATATCATCTTCCTTTCTGAAACTAATATCCTCTTAAAAATCACATAAATCAGGGGAAGATCTAAGGTACACAGATGGTTGCTTTGTCTCAAAAAGGGGAAGATCGGGTGGTCTCTTCTGTAGCTGGAAATGGAATTTACTCATACAGACAATTGACTCGTTAGATAGATGGATTAAGCTACAGACTGAAAAGTCTATGTCTGACCCAGTCTGGATTATAACTTCTGTTATGGTCATCCAATTAAGCAACATCAGGCTAGAGTGTGGAAAGATTTAGATGAATCCATGAGAAAACATGATGATTGGTTATTAATAGGGGACTTAAATGGTATAGTGGATGCCTCTGACTACTGCGGATCCAGAACTGAGTCATCTTGAGTCTCCAGATCTTTGAACTCCCTCATAATGAATCACTCTTTACCAGAAGTTCCCTCAATTGGGGACTAGTACACATGATAAAACCATAAAGGGGGTAAGAGGGTGAAGGAGAAATTAGATAGAGGTCTGGCAACTTCTGGATGGTTTAATTACTTTCCAGAAGCTCAGATTACAACAATTCCCACTATATTTTCAGACCATACCTTGCGACTCCTAGATACCTGTCCTACAAAAATTTCAAGACCAAAGCAATTTCATTTCTCACCCATGTATGCTGATGAGGCTGAATGTAGAGAAATCATTGAAAACCAATGGAACAACTCTCTCCCTCTTTACATTCCCAACAAGCTGAGGAAGTGTAAGAGATCAATTAAGAGAATGGAATGTGGAGAGGTTTGGGAAGATTTATTAGAACAAATTCTAATCTTGGATGAGGAGGGTCATGCAGACAATTCCAAGGAAAAGGATTTTCTTAGAAGAGAAATGAAAAGAGGCTCCCCAGAGAGGACCAACTTTGGAGATTGTTAAAATGCTGTATCATATTCAGTTTAGTGCTGCAGGCAAGGTTCAAAGTATTGACACAGGCTGATATGGGCGTATCGGCCTGTATCAGTGCTTTTTTTATATTTTATTTTTTTCAAAACCGGTTCAGAGGGGCCGGTTTAAGTCCCGGCTACCCTCTGAACCATGGTCTAGCCCGATACAACCCCTGTAGGGGCGTATCGGGAAGCTCCCGGCACAATACGTATCGGCTGATACGGGCCGATACATATCGATACTTTGAACCTTGGCTGCAGGGACAATATTGTATTTTTACCTCTTTTTATGATCACCCTAATATATATAAATACAAAAGCTGGTGCCACTAGCACAACTTTTGGCCTCTTATTCTTTCTTTCTTCTCTTCCTCTCTCTTCTCCTCTTCTCTTCCCTTCCTTCTACTATTTCTTCCAGGACAATATGGTATCAGAGTGGGTCTGTTAGCCTAGAGAACAGAACA